ATTAAATTAGGTAATAGGTCATTGATAAGACTTAATAGCTCACCTATGAGAGCTAATAGGCCATCCAATACTCATATTTGTAAAGTTAGAGAAAAAAGGGAACACCAGAATTGGAAAGTATGAATTAATAGTATATTCCTACCATATCGAGAGCCCTCGGGTACAAGAAAACTAACGTACTCCTAATTAACGTGATTGATGACATTAAAAGTCGCAATTTGTATTGAAATATTGTGAGGTCACAGAATACCGTAACACTAGAGCAAATAATAATGGTTAATAGTTTTTGCGGTGCTTTCCTCCTCTAGAGGTGTTCTTCTAATACATCTTTCTCATCAATGGACTTGGCAGTTCTCCTGCCAACATTAAAATAAACAGGTCTTAGTTCAAGTAGACCTACAGGGTGGCCCAGATAAATGGTTCCCTGGTAATAGTTGTAATGATATTGAGAGTAGTTCAAAACTATAGCAGAAAATAAGAAGTGCATTATAATAGAAAAGTTGTTGTATATATAAATTTTGAGGCAAAAACTTATTATACATTAATCTATTTTGGACACTGCTCAATTATTAGTAGGAACTAGGTAATATAGTGGAGCTCCTCCTTTCCGGGGTGATATATCGACCACATCAGCCTATTAAATCCGGCCCAAGTGTTGGGTGACTTCTTCGCATAATGGACAGAGGCCGAGCTACCTGGAGAGCATGCGGCTTATACCCATTAGGTGATGTATTTTCACGGCTACAAAATGCTTGCGGGACTGGGGGTTGGGGTAGTCCTCACCTCACCCACCAGCGACACCATGAAGTATGTGCTCCAGATCATGTACACCATCTCCAACAAGGGGGCGGAGTGCGAAGCACTGTTTTGGATGGCCATCTCCATGGGCATAAGGCGTTTTGAGGTCCGAGGTGACTCCAACCTCGTAATTTCTTAGATAAACAGCAACTTTGATGAAAAGGACCCAAAGATGACTGTGTATCGCAACACGGTCATAACCATGTCGGGTCGACTTGAGCGCTTAGAATCTCATTTTGTACTGGATGAAAGCAACCAAGCCACAAACTTACTGGCAAGGCTGGGTGCTCAACGTGGAACAATTTTTCAAACGTTCTATTAAATGGAAAGGAGACACCGAGCCCAGCAAGCAACCCGAGTAACCCATACAGGAATTGATCACCCTGCCAGCCGTAGAGGCAGACGAGGTGATAGTGGAGGCTCGACGCTGGAAAAAACCTCCTCGGCCCATGAGATTATGACAGTTATTGTGCCATGGACAAAGCCACTTCTTTCTTATTTGATACGCAAAGAACTGTCCGACGACCAGACGGATGGGCGGCGAATCGTTCGACGATCAGCCACCTACAAGGTTCACGACGGAGAGCTCTATAAATGGAGCATCACAGGAGTGCTCCGGCACTCCATATCCAAGGAAGATGGACAAAATCTCTTGTCCGAGATACACTCCGGCACTTGTGGGCATCATGCAACACCTCAGACCTTGGTATGAAAGGCTTTCCGAACAAGGTTCTATTGGCCCACAGGACGGGCTGATGCACGATATTTAGTTGATACGTGCGTCAGGTGCTAGCTCTTTGCTAAATAAAGCTACCTTCCATCCACAGCCTTGAAAACAATCCCGATAACCTGGTCGGTCTTGGGACTTGATATGGTCGGACTACTCCGTAAATGTCAAACTAACAAGAAATATTTGCTGGTCATGGTCGACAAGTTCACAAAGTGAATAGATGCAAAGCTTGTGGCCTTGGCTAAAGCCCAACCAGTGAGAAATTCATCTCCGGCTTGGTACACGTTATGGAGTACCTCACAACATCATAACTGATAACAAATCCAACTTCACGCGCTAGTAGAAAAAGGGTCAAATGTTCAGCTCATTAGTCCCGGTTTGAATTTGAGCCGGCACTAATATGTCCATTAGTGCCAGTTCCAACGGCTAGGCGGGCCGCTCTCATTAGTACCGGTTCTTGCCGAACTTTTAGCACTGGTTCGTGCCACGAACCAGTACTAAAAAGAGTGGTGGCAGGATGTTGTCAGTCTGGGGCCCCTCCAGCACCTTTAGTACCGGTTCGTGATACGAACCGGTACTAAAGGTCGTCCTATATAAACCATTCGTCCACCGGGTACTAAAGGTGACTCCAGGCAAATGGCGACAAAAGTTGTTTTTATATCGACCCAAGGTAAGTAATTAAGTATTACTAGCTAGCTACCCTCTCTTTAATTCTTGTTTCAAGACCATTAATTAATTATCATGCTTGACTAATTATTATCTGATTAAATTCTATTCTCGTAAAGGCCCTGAAGCAGATGTCGGGGACTGAAGTGTGTGCATACTACGTTTGTGAGAACATTCGCATGATGGCGTCCGAAAGGAGCAAATCTGATAAACAGCAATGGGTACGTTTGCCAGAACACTATTCACAAATTTTACATGATTATCGATATTTAGTCACACAACTAATACACATGCATATTGATCTCCTTCTTAACAGTTCAAAGACGTGCGGGACCAGCTTCTACCAACAGAGCGTATACGAGCACTTCAAGAGGAAATAGCAGAATTTTTGCTCGACCAGGTCATAGATCCCAAAGGAGAATACTATTACCCGCTACCGTCCCCATGAACCACTCCTAATTGTCATCGTGCTCCGAAGGCACCAAGGCAACATGTAGGAGAAATTGTGTGTGTGTGTGTGTGTGTATGATCGGTTCTACGAGAAATTTTATTTTTATATATGCATAACGTGTACAATATGTAGTATCGTAAAATACCAGCAAACGAAAAAGAATTAAATGAAAAACACAAAATTAAAGGAAAAAGAAATCTTCAAACCAAAACCCTCCAAACATTTTAGTACCGGTTGGTGTTACCAACCGGTACTAAAGGGCTCCCCGCCCCGGGCGCTGGCTCGTGCCACGTGGTGGCCCTTTAGCGGCGGTTCGTGCAGAACCGGTACTAAAGGGGGGGGGGGCTTTAGTCCCCACCCTTTAGTTCCGGTTGCAGAACCGGCACTAAAGGCCCTGACGAACCGGTGCTATAGCCCGGTTCTGCACTGGTGACGGCCGAGGAGGTAAAAAACGAGGTGCGCCAAGCAGAACATGAAGCTTGACTACACCTCCATCTATCACCCGCAAACTAATGGGTAGGTCGAGTGGGCCAATGGGATGATCCTTAGCAGCATAAACCCTCGGTTGATTCGATCTCTCGAGGAAGCCGACAATAGTGGGCCGAGTAGCTCAACTCTGTGTTGTGGACCCTATGGACCACACCAAATCGATCCACCGGCTACACGCCATTCTTCATTGTATACAATGTTGAGGCCACTTTACCAAGTGATTTCAAACATGATGCACCTCTAGTACGCCTGTACGAGGAATGGGAGGCCAAGTAGAGCCGCCGGGATGATTTAGATGCCCTAGACAAAGAGAAAGACATTGCCAAACCACGCTCCGCCTTCTACCAATAGTAGGTACATCGATACCAGCTGCAAGAGGTATGGGTGAAGGCGTTCATCATCAGTGACTTCGTCTTATGATGCCACCCAGACAAGGCTGGACAACATAAACTGCCTGCAACCTGGGACAAGCCGTTCATCATCGATAAGGTGCTCACTGGAGGAGCATACCAGATCCAAGATGCCAAAGAAAAACGCCTAGAGCCAAGCCCTTGAAACACTACACTACTGTGGCGATTCTACGGCTAGCAAATCTACACTCTATCTATTATTCAAATTTGTCTTTAGAACTAGCTAACTTTTTTTTTTGAAACAAAGTTAGACTCGACATTGTGTCCTTTATTAACCTTTGTTTTCTGTGCTAGATTTTGGCTTGTTTCTGGCGCTAACGATACGGCTCATGGCCATACATCAGATGTCACAACCTTGGTTGGGGGTTGTTATAACCCCTCGACCAAAAGCATACCAGATATAGTTCGTCACAGCAAAGGCACAAACACAAAAATAGGGTACGCATTAAATAAATCTTTTAAGCAGACAAAACTGCAAGGATGGAACTAGACATAATAGAAGCGTGTTATCCTTTATTTGTTTATATATGTTTTCTGAAATAAAGTGAAAAGAGACACTTGCTTTCCATACGTACGGGGAACCTAATGAATCATATCATCACCGAATGTAGAGGATCAGAGAAAGAAGGAAAGCAGCTAACTGCAAACCCAATAACGCAAACTCAACAAAAAGCATGACCCTTGGATACACTCAAAGCAAAGAAAATAAACAAAGAGAGGAGCACAGCCTCCACATGTGCACATGCACCAAGAAACAAGCGATCAAATTAATCGGCCAAGCATATCCCGACCCTTTAACGCACACCTAAAAGCGAAAACGGGAAAGAAAAAGGTTCTTTTTTTTGTTTCTATTGGTTTTCATTCTACCTTTTCGTATTTGTCAACAACATTTTTCTAATACACGTTTAACATTTTTCCAATGCAAATTTAAAATTTTCTACTATATAGTCAACATTTTTTCTATACACATTTGTTAACATTTTTCAATAGCTTGATTATAATTTTTCAAATAAAAGATTAACATTTTGTGAATACATGGTAAACATTTTTTTATATACATTTAAAAAAATTCTGGATTAACAATTTTTAAATAAAAAGGTTAACATTTTTTAATATTTAACTTTTTCCAAACTCTTGATTAATATTTTTCAAGCACTTGTTCAACATTTTTTTCAAATGCTTAATAAACATTTTTATGTACATTTTCATCATTTTTTTAACGGTCAAATCTTTTTATACACATTTAAGGCCTGTTTTGTATATTTAGCAGTGGAGTCTGCAGATCTTAAATCCTGTTCCTCGGGTACAGATCCAAATCATTCGTGTCATTTGCACCTGACATAATGATATTTAAATTATCATCGGTATCTTTGTAATGCTGAGTGCTATCCTTGAGATCTCTAATTTTTCAAGCAACCTGTTACACTCAGTGTCGAGGAAATGTGAACGTACCGGTCTATTCATCGTCAGATAGGCATACCACATCTACACGAGCGGCCACGCCAGGGGGATCATTGCGCAGCCCAAGCTTTCCTGTTAGCCATTCATCCAGCGATACTGAATCAGAGTCTGACGGTGGCATGCCTGGTGCGGAAGGGCCAACACCCCTACCTGGCAACACATTCAACGCAGCTGAGGCAACGCCAGATGTCGTAGTCAAACCTCGCGGTGATGTTAGTGGCAGAACTGGACTTGGAACCGAAGATACAGGCGACAGCAGGCGTGTTGGCTGTGAACTTGATGGCAGTGGTGGAACCTGCTGAATTTGATGTGAGCTTGATGGCCCCAATGGTGCAGGTACAGTGGGGTGTGAACTTGGGTGCAAGCTTGACAGTGATTGGTTCCCTGGGGGAACTGCCTGTGGGCATGATTGTCTTATATTTACTGGAGTCACAGGGGTAGACCGTGTCCTTGCAGACGTGCTCTCGAGCCCAGTTGGAAGCTGCTGCTGATTTGCATGTGCCATCAAATGCACCTGTGGAGGCAACCTGTGCTGAAGATGAGGAGCAGGTACACGTGTTACTTCACTCTGGACTCCAAAGTTTCCCCGTGGCAGAACTGGCACGAGACCAAAAGTAGTTGATGTTGATCTGGAGGGGTGAGGTGAAGATGGCGATGATGATGATGATGGTGATGGTTGATGGACCTGTAATGGTTGGACATGATGCATCTGCACTGGTGGTCGACCAGCTGTCGACGATGCAGTTGGTGATGCAGTCGATGCCGCCGCTGAAGGCCTCATGGGAACTTGCTGAGAAGCCTGGGGTCTCTGGTGATTTGGAGGGCTGTGGGCTCTAGCTGCAGATCAAAGTAATTATATATTAGTGACGGACGTTTGAAAATTTGGGACGGATGTTTGAAAATCATGTCAGCATATTCATTTAAAGGACATCAAATATGATTGCTTATAGTCAATACTCAGTAGTACCTTGCGCTCCAGAAGAAGATATGAATTTAGCCCGAAAATCGTCAGCTAGTGACTGGTTGAGGATAACTTTCTCACATAAACTATCAAGCATCTTCCTTTGCTGAAGATGAGTGGAATCATTTTCTTCAAGTAACGAATTATACTTTTGTTTGACCTTCTCTATTTCCTGGCTACACTCGGTCATAAGTTGTGATTGCTGTCCATAAGTGAAAAAATAAGAACAAGATGAGAATCCCAGAACTGGTGTAAGAAGTTCACAACTAAGATATACATGAGCTAGAAGAAACAACAAACCTTTAGTTTGTGGGCTTTATTACGTGAGTCAATGTATAACCGTAATCTGTGCAACTCATTTTTCAGTGGTTCATCACCAACTGGTGGATGATTAAACATCATTGGTGCCCCCAGAAAGAGTTGTGCTAAAGAACCCGGTGCAGCCTCAGGTTGATGACTTTGTTGGCACTGATCAGGGCTTGTTCTTTCAAGTGGAATACTGGACAGTGGAACCGATGGCAAACACTGAGATGATGGCGCACGGGAAAGTAGGCTTGATTGTTCTACATCTCTTTGTGAAAGCTCAGTTGGCACCATACTTGGTTGTGCAGACTGAATTATCAGATCCGTCGGAGTAGAAACTTCCCTGGATGCTGATGGTTGCATTTCAGGTTGCAACGTCTGAGCTGGTGTTATACCAGAACGGTCTACTTGTTCTGCCTCTCTTCGTAGAAGTGGTGCTGGTGCTACAATTGGTTCGGCAGACGGCATTACAAGATTGGCCTCGGCTTCAACTTCCTTAGACATTTGCAAGGAAGCCTGGCTAGGCACAGGAGCCAGAGTCTGTGATTCCGGTGGATCTGCCTGAGTATTGTCTCCATTGCCGGTGTTAACTTCCATTTCAGCATCTCCTAAACGTCGGTCAGTCTCTCCCGGTAATGGTTGCGAACCCACACCACTCTGTTGCTCAACATGTTCGATCCTTCTATGGTCACCACTTGAAGATTCCTGATATATGTTACAGGTACATATGATTAGTGTCATAGGATACTAATAATAAACAAGTCAAAATAAGTACCATGAACTGGAACATGAAGACCATGTGCTCAGAACTGACTCTAATGGAAAGATAAGTGCTGCATCAACTGGGATGTCCACTATTTGGAAGTACGTTCATAGATGAGCCTACTAAACAATTATTTTCCTTTCGCTATATTGATACAAAGAACTTAAATGGGTAATCTACAAACCGTAAAACATGACATAGTATGAAAGGAAACATACTACATACAGTTCCACCTTGTATGACTAGTGTACTGTACAGATCATGATGGGCAAGTAACTACGCTGAAAGAGCAAAAAACAGCAGATCCTAGATGAGCCTACTAAACATCTCCTTTCCTTTTCGCTATATCACGAAGGAAAAGGTTTCTGAAAAATCTACAATCCATAAAACATGACATGAAACTTGAACCAAAGATTCAATGTGTTATAATCTTACATAAACTGACTGCAAATTAAGTTGGAAGTTTCTGTAAAAAAAAGTTAAGCTGACAGTTCCTACATGGATTTGGATATTAAGCTTATAAAATCAGAATGACACCACTGCAAAGAACTAGTAAGTATAAGACCAGATTAATCCATGCCCTACCTGATTAATAGAATTATCAATTGCAGGACTAGAGTTTAATTGCTGTTGAACTGACAGAGATGCCCCTCCTTGCGAGTCGATGCAAGCAAAACTATTGCTGACCATGTTCTCTGATGCTAGCCTTCCTTCACTGTGGATAAAAACTTCAGCAGAACCATTTCCCGCTGCTTCTGCATTGATAACATCAGATGGAATCACACCACGAACCAATGTAACTTCCATCGCCGAGGTTCCGTGCAAAGACTGCGGACAGTTTGCCAAGGTAGCTGTATCAACACAGGAGCTAAAGTGGCTGAATTCTTCAATGGCAAAGCCTGAATCTGGTAAACAAATACGTTGATCAAAAGTATGATCCAATTGGCCAGATTTTGCTTTGTCAAGGAAATCTTCCTTCAACTGCAACTCCTTAGTCCACACCTTTGATTGCTGCCAGTCAAGCTTCTCACGTTGGTACCTCATGTGCTTCAGAAACGCACATAGTAGCATAGTAAACCATACAACTATTAGCTTCGTTTGACCGCCTCTGCCCTCTGGATCAGCTTGAGACCTACGAAGGTGTTCCACAACTATTCTGCATGATTCTCTCAGTTTCACCACTCCCTTGTGCCTGTGCATGTCAAACATTGCCACCTCGTTTGCTTGTTTATCATGGATATTCTTTTCTCTCAAGGAGAAAACCATGTCAACCAAATTAATTCTTTTCTCTCTGATTCTACTAAGAAGTACATCCTTTGATAAATGCTGCTTTGCATGAATCTCTGGAACAGATAGCAGTTCCTTGACTTCCTTCTCTCCTGGTACGATAGCCTCAATCACTAAATCATGTGAATCCTCTTGGTGTGATTCGTTCCCACCAACAGATGCTGCCTGCTCAGGGATTGATTTGTCATTTCCATATTTAGTTGAGGTCTCCTGCTGATATGGTGATATGTTCTTTACTGAAATTGATTGATTATTCTCGCCTGTTCCGCGTACTCTATGTGAGAACTCCTTCTTTAGGATCCTTAGCTTGTTATAAACCAACTCAGCGAGAGTTTCACTGCACTCATATTTCAAGTGTTTTTCAGCAAGGGCCAGTGATTCTCTATGATTAACCTGATGCCTTGAGAGAGAAGCAGCACGCCAGCACTGAAATAAAGCATGCAAAGGAAAACATTCATCAAGAACAGCAATATTTAACATTGAACATGTAGTGCAAAATTACAGAGAGGGCTCTTCTCTAACCAGTGCAATGTTGAATGCATGCAATATGTGCTTTGGCTCCACACTGACTTGGTGATTCTTCAAAGTATAATGAAGAAGTTCATCACATAAACATTGAACACTTCCCTGCACAACATGTTACCGTTCCATCAAAGAATCCAATCGGCTAAAATAGCAAATGATGAGTATATGAAATCATGTGTCTTCATGAATTTTAACCTCACTGGAATGGTAGGGTGAATTACGTTTTGATAACTTGTCTGTGTATTTATTTACTACACAAAATTTATTGATGTACAGAATGCTGCACTCTTCAGTTTAGGCACAGTTTATGATTGTTGATCAATTACAGACAACCAAACATTTTACTTCTCTTTGGGATGTATTTGGTTCTTAATATCGTTCTTACAGAACTTTCAATACTGTCAAATTAGGTTACTAGTTCTGACCAAAGGAATATATTGGCAAAAAACTATCACTAGGTATTTGTGACACAGCAAGAATTAAAACATCAACAGAACAATGAGGTCGTTACATTCAGCATACCGGTAGTTCAAACAATTCATATAGCTTTGATAGCTCTGGCTTCAATTTGATGTGAAGACCTTTTTGTGTGTCCTGAAGATGTTCCACCCCTAGAAAATGGACTCTGTTAGAACAGTGCATTATGTGCATGAAAAACAGAGCTAATAATTACAGTTACAGCAGTATACCTTGTTCCTGCCACGTGTGGTCAACTGATATTTGATGACGACTAGATGTAGTATTAATTTCAGGCAATATTGAGTCCTTATCTTCGCCAGCTAAAACATTTGCAGATGAATCCAAGGGTCCAGCAATTTTTCTACGTTTGGTACTGGCCTCATCGGCAGGAATTTTCCCTTCTTCCATGTTTTGTATCTTTCTACGGCTTCTTTGTGTCGGCTCAGTTATATACTGCCAACGAGGAGACTTCCGATCTAGCAAATTTACCCAGAATTTTGGCAGATCACTATCAGGTGCAGATATCCCGCCCCTCTCACCTACCACAACAGTATCTCTAGAATAAAAAGGTCCATTCAGACGAGCTTGTGAAATGGCTGCATTGCTCATCTCAGTGCTGGGATCATTTTTCATGGACAACTTCATTAAGTACTCCTGAAGTACTTTATCCATGAACAGTTTTTCAGCACCAAAATCATTGGTTAAATATGCATCATTTTTTAGCTCTTCGAGTCTGCTGAATTGAAATGATGCACCCCAACTAAGCAGAGAATGGCTCAGGATAGGCGTTATATTCTGGCCATTGCTATCAAGAATATGATCATGCTTTGCAAGTATAAGAGCCTTTTCCTCCAATGTGCAAGATGAATACAGACGAAAAATGGGCACACATTCAGATTGTGACTCTATGCTGATCCTCTGGAGGACTCTCAAGTCATTTGTGGGATTCCAATCACTACAATATATGATGATGACATCAACTGAAGATAGTTTAATGCTTGGGAGACATGCACGACTATCAATCAAGAAAATAAACCGGCCCTTAGTCGTGTCATTGAACATACTCATTGCACCCTGTTTCTTTGATACAGCGAGACCACGCTCCAGGCGTTCATATGACTCAAAACCATATCTTTGACGGACATAATCATCCAAAATATCACCCATTGGATTGCCAGCTCCACCACAGGACTGCACACAGAAGAAAGAAACGTCATATTGCACTGGTAAGCTTGGGAAACCTTTCCAAAAGATCATGATATTTAATTCTAACAATGATGAATCAGACACTACCCAAACAATGAGCTTAATAAGGGATATACCCGTCAGCGATTAAAATGTACCAAAACATGTTTTTTTAACCGATGGCAAGATGTTAGAACATGTGCTTGCAAAATGTTGTTTCTGAAGTGAACCGTATGTGGAATGTACCAAAGAAAGATAAATTTTAGAACTTTTTTCAGGATTGAGCATGAACTTTTTTCAGGACGAGCCATCTCTAATAGGGACAAACCTAGAACTTCAAATATATTGGAACAGAGGAAGTAGTAATGAATCACACATAACAGGCATTACTACATAAATTGGGCCAAAATTAAATAATGGAACCAAGAGATTATTTGAGGCATGGTACCACAAAACGCTCACCTGGGTAAGGATAAGAACTCTCTGCCCTTTTCCCTTGATTTCTCGGAGCATTTTGTCAAGAAGCAGTAGCTTGCCACTCGCACGCACTCCAATATCTAGGATATCAGTTATCGGGTAGCCCTTGGTAAGTGAGGTTTGGAGCATTGCATCTACTAGATAAGGGTGGTCGCAGCACTGTTGCATGATAAGATCAGTAAAGACAGTTAGCTATGCACAATGAGTACCACTGCAGATTCCGTCTCTCCCTGCTGTGAAAAGAAGGTATCATGCATGCTCAGAAATTCTAACAGCTAACCTTCCGGAGGGATACAAGAATGTTGCGAAGAGCACCAACACTGTCAGTTTTTGAATGTGATCGAAGCGCTGGTGAGTTTGAAAGTAAGGTATAACAGTACATTTCTAGTTGCACTCGTGAAAGGCAAGCAGGAACCCAATACTCCACAAATTTTGATGAGTCCGCTTTCCGGCCCATTGCAGTGTGAAGTGCGAACTCTGAACAGTCATGAGTTGGCTCTCTAGCATCCATTGCAGGACTGCTTTCAGTCAGAATATTTTGTGAGCACAGATCAGCAGTCATATGTGCCTGTACAAGAATTGATAATGTAACCAAGTCATTTGATACAGATGGTAGGATGACAAGAGAAAGAAAAGCAACATTGCAAATAACAAGCCAACATACTGAAGCAGCAAGGATGTTACAAAAAATCAAGCATATGCTCAAGTTGCTAAAAGGAAACTATACAAAGTATTATGTCAGGTGAACACTGCGTCCTGCATAAATTGTACTCCCTCCGTCGCAAATTAGTCGTCTCCGATTTGTCCGTATCTAGACATGTTTTAGTGTTAGATACATCTGTATCTAGACAAATCTAAGACAACTAATTTGGGACGGAGGTAATACTATAGTAAAGTAAGAAGCTCAAGACGTTATACGAGATAATGCAGGTGCAAATAAAGAACACTTTGATGTATTACTGGAATATGTGTTTAGTTATTTACTTCTATTTTGCTACTCGAGACTTACGACCTATAAAGGATGAAGGAAAATAACAATGATACTTACAACAATGCTTTGTGATAATGTAAGGTCAAGAGTTGTAATAATTTAAGCCCAAGAGGTGATATGTGATGTGGAACAACGAAAGAACATATTAATCTATTACCAGAATATGGTATTTAATTCTAATTTGCTACTCTGGGGTTAAGACCTGCAAAGTATGAAGGCAGAGAGGACTGCTAGTTACAGCAACGCCTTGATTTCATAAGGAGTGTAATAAAAAAATGAGAACTCAAAAGAATAGAGGATGGTTGAGCAAACCTCTGAAATGGGAGCGGATTTTTCAACATCAGTTTTCGACCCATCTGTCTCCAATATCACCTCAGGAGCTTCACACTGAGCAGATTTTTCAACATCAGTTTTCAACCCATCTGTCTCCAATATCACCTCGGGAGGTTCACACTGGCCAGAAGTATAGCCTTCCAAACAATTATTGACGACTTGACTTAAATGTGCCTTGTCATCTTCTTCATGTGCGCCACTTTCTTCATACCTCAAAACAGAGCCATTGTCTTCCGCGTCCACCTTGGAAGCATTTCCTTCATAGCCTTTGAAAGTAGCAGCAGGGAATACATCACGGAAGATAGATGAAGGGACGAAGGCATTGGGATGAAAAGAATTGGCATGCCAAAATTTCATTGATAACAAGCAATACAAGCCTATTAAAACGTTAAGTTAGTAATTTCAATATGAGTGCTTTGCATGGAACGTCCTGCATTGTTTTTAGAGCATGCAGCAAGCTAGTAATACTTCATCCTGACCGAATCTGTCACAAGAGTATGTTAAGCATTACATCTTCAGCTATCTAAGATGAACCTACATTGTATGCAGCAAACAGCAAAGTCATGGAGATGGGTGTTTGCAACAAACAGACCAACTTTGATAATGAAACAGGCAAACTAAACTGTGACTATCATCCCAGTTGATTGGACAAGCAAAGCATGAGCTCAAAATCACAGGGAGATCAAGTTAAGTACCAGGGGATTTTTCATATTCTTCAGAAGATGTCTTGAAGAGACATGTATAGCTCTTTGCAGTTAGCCTTTTCTGCTTCTTCAATGACCTGGTACCACTCTCGGAAGCATCATCATGCTTATGCTTTGCTGAGTTATGTTCATCAATTTGTCCATTTACGGTTTTGTCGGGAGTGGCCACTGGACTAGGAACTCCATTTGAATCATTTGAAGCGGTCGAAGCTGAAACGGTACTTTTCTTTATTCTGTTGGACGTTCTTGGGGTACCAGCCTTCATTGTCGACCCTTTTAGCTTCTTTGGCGACGATTTCGGGGTATCAGGTGTGCTGGGGTTGCTCCTGCCCCTCGTAGACTTCTGCGAAACCGGTGTGGTGGTCCCAACGGGGTTCTTTCCTCTTGTTTCCCGGTTCGACCTCCTGAGGTTTGGCTTCTGCTCCTCGCTCGTTTCACGCGTGGACGAGCTTCTGGACTCCCTTCCACCGGCAGACGAGGTGGAGGTCGATGCGGACTTGGTGGCGGCACTGCCTTTCCTTGCACTGGTGTCCCCTGCCCCCTCATTGTTCGCCCCTCCTGACCGGGTGTTGGCCATCCGCTTCGGTCGAATCAACGCATCAGACAGGGCACCTAGAATGTCGCAATCAGAGGCAAACGGGTGTCAGAAATTTGGCAAGCTAAGATCTCTGAAATGTATACTGAAATCATGGATCAATGCATCGGTCCGCTGAGCACACAATTCTCTATCAAAAAGCAAACCCAGAGCTTGAGCAGCAAGCATTCCCTCATGGCGCAGGGGCATGTAGTACTACAGTACATCATAAAAGTTGGGTTTTTTTTACCTCAGGGCCGAACTGCTGCGGAATCCAGCCGGCGGGCGCAGGGGAGGCCGGGTGAGAGAAGAGGGGCGGCGAAGGCGGTGCCGGGGTGGAGCTCCTGCGGCGGCCCGTCGCCTCGGCCGAGCTCCTGCGGCGGCCGGCCGGCCGGCCGGTCACTGTGGTGGAGGCAGATGAGGGGGAGGGGGCGGAGCGGAGCGGAGCGCAATGGAGGTGGGTGAGGGGGTGGAGGGGGCCGACGGGGCTCTTGAGGCGTCCCGCCGGCGGCGACGCGGGAGCGCGCCGGTGGACGGCGGAGGCGGAGGAGAACCCTAGAAATCGGGGGCTGCCTGGTCTGTCGCCGGGTCGGGGATTGGGGCTCGGTTCAGTTTGGACAGTGGCAAACGTGCGTAATTTCGTCGCAACTCTGGGGGTAAAGACGCCTGGCCAGGGAAGCATCACCATGCGCATGCATGTTTTAGAAAGAAAAAAAACATTTAGATTTGATAATTGTCCAGAAAAACAATAGCCAGCTCAAAAAAAAAACAGCCATTACAAATGAAAATTGCTGACGGCGCCAAAAAAGCAGGTACGCGAAATGTCCTCGTGGAGTAGAACGGGACAACGATGGCGGTGTGGGAGGAGGAGGGGTGAGGCGCCAGCGGTGAGGCCCTAAGCTAAGGCATGTAACAAACCCATGTAAAAGGGCTCCTCACCCCATTTTCCTTCTGCAATATATGATATGCATGCTTGTGTGTATTTGAGAGAAGAAAAAGCTAAGGCATCACGACAATGCTAGGGCACAACGGCGGTAGATTTTAGAGCCGTGGGTTGGGTTCAACCTTTGGTCGAACAGGAATAGGGAACAAGGTAGGGAGGTATCTGACCATTCGTGGCAAAGTTCATATACATGAGAAGTTGTCAAAAGGAACTTTTACCCTTTGTCTTGATTTTATTTATTTAGTCTTTGTAAAAGTAGGAGGTAAATACATTGCTGGTGCTTGAACTTGCCACAAATGTGCACTTTCATGCCTAAACTTGCAAAATACATTGAATTAGTTCCATAACTTGGCATGGACGTACATATACGCTTCAAATCTCGTTTTATAAGTCCATGACGTTAACGACGCATGCCAGGATGTAAGTGACAAGGCTTGTGGCCTACTTTTTGCGGAAAACCCCTAGATTAATTTTTCTCTTACAAGAAGGCCCACAGAGAGAAACTGATAAATTGAAAAAAAATCTATTAATTTATTAATAATTAAAGTTGATCCGGGGTTCGAACCGCACGTGCACGTGTGTGTGGCTAGCAGTCGACCCGTTCAAATTTAGTGTCATGAAAGGATTCATATACTTTATAAACATAAAATTACAACGTAAATCTAAAAATATATTCCAGCAATATAGTGCCATTGATTTGAACCTGCAACCAGAGGCTATATAGCGCCGCGCATACCACTCCAACGGGCGACAACGTGGTAAATGATAAATTTAGGTTTATAACATATCGAGCCCGTGTGGCTAAAACGGACCATGGTGTGGCTCAGTTTTCAATGGGTTTGTTCTTTTTCATTTCATTTTAAAAGAAATATGCAATATATATATATATATAAACATATTACGTTAAGAATTTCATGTAACTTCATAAAATACCTATGCAATAATTTAACAGGAATACACATAATAAAATTATGAATTAAGAATATATTTTATAATTTGAAAAAATGTTCGCATTTTAATAAAATGTTAAAGTAGAACGTTCATATATTTAAATAGATTCTCATGTAATTTTAAAATTTCCACATTTTTAATAGACTATTTATGTAGTATATCAATGTGTTCATGCTTTCACAAAAAAATGTGTTGTTTAAAATGTTTATATAGTACTCCCTCCGTTCCAAAATAGATGACTCAACTTTGTACTAATTTTGTACTAAAGTTAGTATAAAGTTGAGTCATCTATTTTGGAACGGAGGGAGTATATAAGTTTGTGTGTTTTCTAAAAAAATATACAAGCCTAGTGCACCATTAGATCTCGGATCCTCACATGAATAATATTTGAATCATATAAACATTTTAATCATTCATACATATTTTCAGTTTTATGAATAAGTTTGAAGATAACATGTGAATTCTTTTTAAAATGACATGAAGATTTTTGCATTCTTTTGAAATTATGTTTGTTATACAATCATAAAGGGTACATGTACTTTTGATACATGACACTCATTGGTTGGAGTGGCGTCCGTGCCTGGTCTTCAAGCTTTGGTCCAATGTTCGGGTCACATATCTGGTGTTGTTTTTGCTGGATTATTAAATTATCTTTATTTATTTTGTTTGGCCAAATATTTATAAAGGTTATGAATCATTAAATATCAGGAAACACGAAGTTGTCGAGTGGCTAGCCGCATGCACTCGGACCGGTATGTCACTGGTTCGATCCAGTTATCTTATAGTTATACTCCTAGTTTTTATTTTATAATTTGTGAGCTTCTCATTGAGGGCCTTATTGTAAGAAAATAATCTTAGGGGCTTTTTCGCAAAAAATCAGGCCACACACCCTTGTCACTGACAGTCCCATGGCATGCTAGCACACCTCCTCGGCTTCGTGCACGTATACAAATGTTATTTGAACTGTATATGCACGTCCATGCCAAGTTATGGAACCAGTTCAATGTATTTTGCAAGTTCGCGCACTAGGCTGTTTGGTTCTAGGCCTTGCATCGCCACACATTTTTTTCCAATCTTGCCTAAGGTTAGTTCATCAAAATGAGAGCTACAAGTTGGCAAGCCTAAGGAAATCTTACCATACTTTTTGTGTGTATGCCATGTGGAGTCCTAGTGTGGCTTGTCTAAGGTGCGGCTTGAAACAAGCACTCATCTAAATTGGTCAAACTTGCCTAAACTTAGTTGTGGCAACATTTGACAAAGTCACAAACCAAACAGCTAAGTGCACACCCATGGCAAGTTCAAGCATCACTAGTGTATTTAGCTCTAAAAGTAAGGTTGTAACCATGTCTATCCTAATCTTACATGGCATCCACAGATTTTAAAGTTGGGGATTTTGACCATTTGTCAAACCTTTCCCTCGGACTTTAATGATTTACCCTCGTTTTTATTAACTTTAATGCTTTGCCACAACTTTATCAAAAACTAGTAGATGATTTGGCATTTCTACCCAGTTTGAGATTACATTATTTATCGATTGCCAAAATGCCCCTCTTGCCAAAATTAGCTAAACACATGCTTACTTTTTTTCTCTCTTTTGTGTTCGTCTCGCAGTTGATGGCTCGCCATGCCTCACCCACATTTTCCGCCCATGTCGTGATGTTGATGATCTTCCACTCCCCATGCTTCGGTGTTGTCATTGAGTTGTTGTTGCTCCTCTCCCACGACCTCCTCCTAGCCCTCCTCTACGATGGCATGTGCTCAAGGGGTTGTCTGATTGTCATTCATGGGCGAGATCCTGGAGAAAGTCACAAGGCATGCAGAGCGGTCAAGCTCTCAGGGGAGTGAGAAGCTTGTCGAGGTCATGTATGTGGTCACCGTCAGTGTGGCGCGATGTACAAGAACAGTTTTCTCCATGAGGTAGGGAGTGAGAAGGAGATATGGCGGGGAAAGTGGCAGCTTCATATAGCGGAATAGGAGTTGGGTTAGCCGGCGGCAAAGCAGGAGGCCTCGGAGCTGATGATTGCTAGGTGTATAGCTTAACAAGGAGTTGGGTCCCCAAATGTAGGAATTTGTAGTAAATAGTAACTTTTTGCCAGTGAGAAACCAATGCATCAATCCGTGGAGGTACCGTTGTTTTGTGGCAGGGGCAAATTTGGGCAACACAAATAAAAATTTACTTATGCCCCCAACATTATTTTTCTTTTAACGATATGCCCCCAACAATTTCAACAAGGGTGTCAACCTTGCTAGCATTACAAGTTGTATAAGATAATTAAACGACAAAATGATAAATGATTTTTTTGTATTGTTGGAACAAAATATAATTGAATATAAAAGTGTGCATGAAAGTTGTTGGAAGGTGATTCTTATGCTAAAAATGGATCAGGGTTCATAGGTTAGCCAAGTGTATCTCTTAAACAAATAAGAATTGGTAAGTAACATAATAATGTGAAAAAAATGCAGAACGGAATATTTTTCATGTCCAAGCCAAATATATATGATGTGTTGATATTATACAGACAGTAACCCATAAATCTATATACAATAGGAACAATAAAGGTGTTCATTGTCATAACAGATTAATGATTAGTTTAACACACATATGAATCCAAACTAGGATATGGTATTACAATGAGATTAATAGAAGGATTGGTGACAAGGATGTGGCTGACGCTGATGATGAAGATTGATGTCATAGCCTCCTTGATCGGGGTGATGGCGTGGCGGTGCCCTTCTGCGAATCCCCCCTCCCCCGGATCATGAATGGAGGGATTGATGATAGACATCATTAATGGAGGGATTGATGATGATGATGATGATGATGATGATGATGATGATGATGATGATGATGATGATGATGATGATGACGATGATGGAGGGCATTAGTTTTTTAGATTCTAGTTCGTGGTTCTGGTCTCTTCGTTCTCCGTGTGTGAAATCTGATCACACGGGGTTGAAGTAGTCGACAAGGAGGCGGCGACATCATATGGTACGAGCATCAATACGAGCATGGATGCTCGTACCGCACGTCATCCTTAAGGTCGCGTAGCTAGTTTTCTCCACATGTGATCTTGTCTCAACAGGGAGGTATTTTTGAGTGGCAACCGCCTATCATTAATATGGGCGGCAGACGACGGACGGACGACTGTCGTGTCGTTTGAACGCGGAGCAGTCACGTGCATCAAGAAGTGTCGCGGGCGGCGCGTCACTCTAATGCCGACGCCAGTGAGTGGTCATATAATCCGCTCTGGGTGGGCATGAATACTGGCACTGATGCTCTGTAGCGGCACTGACCGTTTTGGGCGGGAACCGCGCGGGCGAGGGAGGGGGTTTGGGTGGGCCAGGATGGTCAGAAGCTGCCTTGGGTGCTGTCCGCATGCCCGCAAAGCCCCCTCCACGTTTGTCTCCGGTTTACGGAAGAAAGTACATTCGGACCGCCTTGCGGACCAATACAGACCCGCATTAAAAATGACCCAACACCTTGCGGACCAATATCCGGACGGATGCAGATGATTTGAGAGATGCCCTCAGTAGCTAGTGTCTTTTTTTTGGGGGTCCTGGACTCGCCATAATTTTGACCATCACTTCTCCTCCCTCCAGGCTCCAGCCATTCAACGTTGTCGTCCTTCGACAGTTCGTGTTCTTCATTCTAACGTGTACTCCCTCTGTCCCATATTGTAATATTTTTTTGTCAAAAAAGTATTATAATATCAGATGTTTTTTTTGTCAAAAAAATGTATTATTGTGAGATGATCAGGGGTGCCTCTAGGTTCAACATAAATTTAGGTAGCGAGTCGCAGCTATTTAGAAACAAAGAGGTTTTACATAAAATTAAATGAATTATTGTTGTGTGGTGTGCCATGCCATGATGGAGCCTGGAGGAATAAAGAAATTTGTTCACCGACGTGACAGCAACTCCTTGCTTGGTTTAGTCGTTGCAGGCCCTCCACTAGGCATAAAAAAGCCATTCTTGTAAAGAAATAACCACCCCTGATCATCTCAGCGTTGGAATCATGTCGGCAGCTGACTCTTCCTCTGGCCGGCCAGGCTGCATCTGATGTTGACATAAAAAATCATTCATTCACATGATTATACGCTGCCACATGATTATGCTGTAATTAGCTGAAATTTGTATGGCAAAGAAAGTTCACACCGAATTTGAAAAGTAAATCTTTCCATTTGCGCCGTCCATGGCCTTTGCAATTCCCACTTTTTGTAGCTTCGTTTAGATGTTGCTGTCCATTGCTGTTAGCTGATCACAAAAATAGCCTGCCCAATTCTGCTCTGTTCTCCCCTCTTCGCCCTCTGCCCCTCACACTCCTCTAGTATGCAACCAATGCCCCTGCCAAGCTCAGGAAGGACAGGAGAGCCTCCCATCCATGGCCCTCATGGTGTCCACCTTTGACAAGAGCAATCTTCCAGGGGCCCGGAGGAGAGAAGGGGAGATGTGACAGGTTGTTTGTGCCCGTCCATGGCCGTGCCCTGTTGTCACCCACCACCAGAAGAAGAAGAAGAAGAAGAAGAATGGAGTTTCTGTGTGTCTGGATCGGAGGATTTTGAGCTGGTGAGAGAGGGAGGTGGAGAAATTAGGGGGAGGAAAGCGTAGCCTCGTGGGAGAGGGACGGATCCATTTAGAGGCGCGCTCCCTCTTTTGGCTGCCTTGGGTTGGGTTGGGTTGGGTTGGGAAAGCAGGGAGGGGAGGAGGGTGGTGGCCGTCCATTCTGCTGGTGGCCGTCGCCGCCCGCCCTTGCCTCCCCGCCTTCCTCTTCCAATAATCCTCCCCAATCTTCATCAACAGGTAATCATCAATCCATCCATCCATCAATCGAGTAGCAGTTTGCGAGTTATTTATTGTGCTCCGTTCCAGATTCTCAAGGATGCGCTCCCGATCTGATATAGAGTAGATGGATTTTCTTCTTTCCTTTCCGATAATTTGTTTCGTAGCAATTGAAGAGGATTTTGGCGTGTCCAGATGATAATTTCGGTTTCCTGTGTCGGCTTGATTTCATCCTCAAATCGAATCGAAATAAATGGGGGGAAATAATCCTTTTTTTTCTGTTGCAAATGGAAAGAATCTTTGCAAATCTAATCAATTAGCCCCCCTAATCACCGTTGAAAGGATCCAATTTTATTATTCCCGCGTGCTGCGCTGACGCAGATTCCCATTTTCGTCGTTGCTGGTTGTTGAAGATCTGCGCAAGGAAAGGGGATCCGTCCCGTCCGGCCATGGCGGTGGTGCTGGACTCGTACGTGAAGCGGTGCGCGGCGGCGCTGGAGGAGTTCTCGGGGCAGGAGGCCTGCGGCGCGCTCGGCATCCGGGACAACGTGCGGGGCCTGCTGGGCACGCTGGCGCGCATCGACGCCGTCGTCTCCCACGAGGAGCGCCGCCGGGTGCTCAGCTCCCGGGTGGACGCCTGGGTGGTGCTGCTCAAGGACGTCATGTACGAGGTGGACGACGTGCTCGACGTCTGCGCCGCCGAGGGCGCCAAGATCCTCGCCGACGACCACCCGCCCACGCCCAAGGTGCGCTGCGCCTTCATGTTCTCCTGCTTCCGCTACTCGGGCCCCCAGAAGTTCCACCACGAGATCGGCTTCACCATCCGGGACATCGACATCCGGCTCCGGGAGATCGAGGACGAGATGCCGCCGCTCCCCGCCGCCGCCGGGCCGTCCCCGCGACGCCCCGGCGGCGCCAGGAGGGATTGGTTCAGCAGCGAAATGTCCAGGAGCTGCCACGAAGACGTGGTGAAGCCTCGCGCAGCGGTGGGGACGCAGGTTCACAAGTCCGTCGCCGGCCTCGTGCCGAGGTTGCTCAGGGAGGGCAAGAAGAAGGTGGACGTCTTCGCCGTCGTCGGCGCCGTGGGGATCGGCAAGACCACGCTTGCCAGGGAGATATTCACCGATGAGAGGATGACCGAAAACTTCCCCATCTGCGTGTGGGTCAAGATGTCGAAGGATCTGTCCGAGGCAGCTTTCTTGAAGAAGATCATCGCCGGCGCCGGTGTAAATGCTGGGGACACAGAGAACATGGAGGAGCTCCTCGCCCTCCTCAGCTCTGCTCTTTCAAAGAGGTTTCTCATCGTCTTGGATGACCTGGACAGCCCGGGCATATGGGAAGATCTGCTGAAAGATCCACTGGGAGACGGCGTGGCACGAGGCAGAATACTGGTCACGACACGGGACGAGGAGGTGGCGGCAGGCTTGAAGGCAGTCGTCCACCGCGTCGACAAAATGGACGCAGAGAACAGCTGGGCGTTACTGCGCGAGCAGGTCTTCCTGGAATGCGATTCAGAGGAGGTCCAAGCGCTGGAGGATGTCGGGATGAAGATTGCGGAGAAATGCGAGGGCCATCCTCTGGCAATCAAGGTCATCGCAGGTGTCCTGAGGTCGAGAGGCACGAGCAAGGACGAGTGGGAGATGGTCCTGAAAAGCGACGCTTGGTCGATGCGGCCGTTGCTTCAGCAGGTGCCACAGGCTCTCTACTTGAGCTATGTTGATCTGCCTTCTGAACTGAAGGAGTGCTTCCTCCACTGCTCTCTGTACCCAGAAGACTGCCCCATTCGTCGCTTTGATCTCGTGCGGCACTGGATCGCCGAAGGCCTTGTCAAGCCCAGAGACAACAAGGAACTGGAAGAGTCTGCTGAAGAGTACTATCTGGAGTTGATAGGCAGAAACTTGTTACAGCCTGATCCTGACAATCTTGACCAGTGCTGGATGACACATGATCTGCTACGCTCTCTGGCCCGCTTTCTGATAACAGATGAGAGCATCTTAATTGACGGTCAGGAGAGCTCGAGCGTGGGCTCATTGTCCTCACTGTCAAAGCCTCGACATCTTGCATTGTGTAACATGGAGAACAGCTTGGAGGATCCGATTTCAGTGAAGCAGCAGATGAGCCTAAGGTCACTGTTCCTTTTCAACAGCCCGAATGTCGGAGTGATAGACAATCTTCTTCTCGAGTCAGCCACCTGCCTGCGTGTCTTGGACCTGAGCAACACAGGAATAGAGGCCCTCCCAAAATCCGTCGGCACCCTGCGACATCTGAGGTACCTCAATCTTGACGGGACTCAGGTCAGCGACCTACCCTCCTCCGTCGGCTATCTCGTAAATTTGCAGACCTTGAGCCTTGAAGGCTGTCAAAGATTACAGAAACTCCCTTGGTCCATCAGTGAATTGCAAGAGCTTAGAAGCCTTTGCCTCGAGGGAACTTCCCTACGCTATGTACCAAAAGGTGTGGGTGAGCTGAAGCATCTTAACCATCTATCTGGTCTGATCATTGGTCAGGACAACAATGATCCTGAGGGCTGTGACTTGATTCACCTTCGAGCCATGTCTGAATTGAGGTACCTTCAGATAGAGAGACTTGATAGGGCTACTTCTGGAGCTTCTGCACTTGCAAACAAGCCATTCCTGAAGGTTCTACACCTGTCTGAGCAAGCAGCATTAATTGAGGAAGAAGAGAATGGGGAAGAACAGGAGAACCAAGAGGGCGCAGAGAAAGAAGAGAAGGACGAACATGAAGTAAAAAATGCTCAGTGGATTAGAGAGGATTCAGCTAAAGTGAGTGAAAAGATATGGAATGAGCTCACGCCACCCAATAGCGTTGAGAAGCTGGTAATCAAGAACTACCAAGGTCGAAAGTTTCCAAACTGGCTGGCGGGTCCCAAGCTAAGCACCTCCTTCCCTGCCCTTGCCTTCCTTGATCTTGACAACTGCATGTCATGCACCACTCTGCCTGCTCTTGGCCGCCTGAAACAGCTCAAGTCCCTGGAAATCTCAAATGCAGACTCCATTGTCGCCATCGGTTCTGAGTTCCTCGGCACCACTGTGATGTCACGAGCCATCTCATTCCCCAAGCTTGAGGTTTTGAAGCTAAGAAACATGAAGAATCTGGAAGACTGGTCCTTAAGTGTGGAAGAGAGCCAGACATTGCTGCCTTGTCTCAAGTCACTGCACATACAGTTCTGCCCTAAACTCAAAGCTCTGCCAGAAGGTCTAAAGAACGCTGCTCTGTGCGACCTTCGTGTCGAGGGTGCACATTGCCTTACAGAGATAAAGGACCTGCCAAAACTATCTGATGAACTCTATCTGAAAGACAACAGGGCGCTTCTGAGGATCTCCAACCTACCCTCACTCAAGTCACTCACCATCGACGACTGCGCGAAGCTGAAGCACGTCTCGGGCCTCGACACGCTGCAGCATCTCAGGCTTGAGTTCCCCCCATCCACGGAGACATACTATTTCGAGGAGTTGGTCACCTTCTGGAACATCGCATTCCCACGGTGGCTGGAGCTGCTGATCCGTTTGCAGGCCAATGGCCTGCGTCGGTTCGAGCTGCAGTGTGCACTCCCTTTACTCAGGAGCTGCCTGGAGGGTGGGAAGAACTGGCACGTTGTGCAGCAGATCCCTGAGGTGCGCATCACAAGCACCGATGGCAAGAAGTACATAAGGTACAACAAGGCCCGCCGCATCTACGAGACGAATGCTCAGTGTGAAGAGAAGTCTACCTAAAAATCTTGGTATGCTGTCTTCTTTTCCACTTTTCAGTACTTGTGAAGTTGCCATCTTATCCTTAATCTCTCGAGTGATACGGTTTAATATGGTTTAAGTACTTGCAGGAGTACGTGGCAGCTGTTTGGTAGACATGTTTGGTCCGACCGTCCCTACTGCTCCAGGAGATGTCGTGGTTTACATCAGGGAGTCGTCGTGTTGTTACTAGAAATGGTTTGATGAGGCCTGAGGAATGAGTACCGTATTTTTGGTGAATCAGACAGCAGATGGTCTTTCCCCCCCTTCCTCAGTACTGAACTTGGCTTAACTCCTTCACCAATACTCGATGTGTGATTCTTTTCCGTTTCCTGGTTCTGGCGATTTGTAAATTGTAAACATTGAGCTTGATGGATTTTGATGAGTGTAAAGTATTGCCACTTGTGTACATGGATTTGTTTTTTTTCTTTTCGTGTCGGAATGTTTTCTATCAAACATGTATATTTATGTAATTGGCAAACTTATGTGCGCAAATTTCACGATTATCCTTAAATTGGATACTCTCAATTTGTTGAATACCTTGAATGGAGATGGATGCTACAATCTCTCGAAGTTTGTGTTCTGATTAATGAAAAAAATTGCTTGTATATCTCTCTTTGATGCTATCGAGTTTTTGAAATAAAGAGCTCAGTTCATGTATCTTTTTTTTCGTCATTTGATGCTCTGGAGTTCCCTTTCTGGTATTGAGATTGCAACAAGGTGATCCCTGGTCTTTTGCTTCATATCAGGTAGCCAGCAATCTGCTGTGCATCTTCTGAAAGTTTAAGGAAGCTTAACCCAAGCTCCAAGAGAGAATATGCTTTGATTGCCTTTTGTGATCTTCTGAAAGTTCTTGGCCTAGTGTGGCAAAAAGTTTACCACGTTTGGGTGTCAAAACTGCTGGCAAAGGGATAAGAAATGGTGACAAGCCATGAGGAATCTTACAGTCCCATGATGCAATGCCGCCTTTCTTGCCTTGTGCGTTTCTTTGGAATAACTTCTCCCAGGCGTTGTGCTTTCTCCTTCCAGCTTAGCATCATCTACCTTGCATTTCCAGCCATGTCCAGAGAAAATAAATCTTTCTCCATGGAGGGAGGTTTTGTGCCCTCTTCTATAAATTGTTGTCCATCAGCACCCAGCCAATCACAATCTTCTCCGCAACATTCTTTCTTAGTTGCTTCTCCTAAAATAGTTCTTGGGTCTTCACCACCCAGTTTCACAAGCCTGGTAGTCTTCCAACATGGCCTCCAAGCTCAGCTTCAAGAGAATGGACAGCATCGCTGAAACCATGCCTGATGCGCTGCAACAAAGCCGGTACCAGATGAAGAGGTGCTTCCAAAGGTAATATAGACCAAACTTGGAGTGTGTGCTTTAATACAGTAGTGAGTTCTTTATGCCATGCATTGCATCAAGAAATATTTGCTGCTGTTGAAGCTTTGTCATCCTGAAATTGGGGAGAAAAAAATGTTTCAGGTATGTATCGAAGGGCAGGAGGCTCTTGAAGAACCAGCAGCTCGTGGAGGAGCTGGAAAAATCACTAGATGACAAAGCTGAGAAGGAAAAGCTTGTTGAAGGCTTTCTCGGTTACATTATTTGTTCGACTCAGGTTATTTCACTTTACATTCCCCAATTCCCTTCTGCAGCTAGAATCAAGTTTGATGGAAGAAGCTTATCAGATTTGGAATCCTTTATGTTTGCAGGAAGCAGTAGTGCTACCACCATTCGTTGCCTTTGCTGTTAGAATGAATCCTGGCATCTGGGAATACGTCAAAGTTCATTCCGATGATCTGTCGGTCGAAGGAATTACACCATCAGAGTACCTTAAGTTCAAAGAGACCTTATATGATGAGAAATGGTATGTCTTACTCTTACCAAATATCATGTGATCTTTGACATTGATCAGAGAGCTAATTTAATGCTTGATGAGTAAAATCATGATTCTGAAAAATATGGTCTGTTCATGTGAATTTCAGGGCCAAGGATGACAATTCGTTGGAAGTTGATTTTGGTGCTCTTGACCTCTCAACACCTCATCTGACGCTGCCCTCGTCAATAGGGAACGGGATGCAGTTTATCTCCAAATTCATGTCTTCAAAGCTGAATGACAAGCCTGAAAGCATGAAGCCGTTGCTAGACTATTTGCTCACTCTGAATTACCGCGGCGAGGTAAAGATTTCAGTCATTCATATCTCGTATCAGAAGATCAGAATTAACAAACTGAATGAACTTACATATCCTTATGAACATGCAGAAACTGATGGTTAACGACACGATCGACACGGTGGACAAGCTTCAGACAGCGCTGCTCCTTGCAGAAGTTTTTGTCAGCGGGCTGCCAAAATTCACACCATATTTGAAATTTGAACAGAGGTGATGTGCTGCCATATTAAGTAGACATATAATTCATAGTGCAGAAATATGCAACTATGCCTAACGTTCCTCCACGAATTGTGTTGCAGATTTCAGGAGTGGGGATTGGAGAAAGGATGGGGTGAGAACGCAGAAAGGTGCAAGGAGACTCTGAATTTCCTATCTGAAGTGCTCCAGGCACCAGATCCTATCAACATGGAGAAGTTCTTCAGCAGGGTCCCATCCATATTTAACATCGTTGTCTTCTCCATCCATGGTTACTTTGGCCAAGAGAAGGTTCTAGGATTGCCAGACACCGGGGGTCAGGTATCAATATTCTTCAAATAGTAGGACATGGCAACTCTGATCAGGTTATCCATATTTAACATTTCTTTCTCTGTAACAGGTTGTCTACATCCTGGACCAAGTCAGGTCCATGGAAGAGGAGCTGCTGCAGAGAATCAAGCAGCAGGGTTTGCATATAACACCAAAGATTCTTGTGGCAAGGCCATCATCCTAGCTATTCCTGCTATGTCATTTGTAGAACTGCTAAACTAATGGCTACTATTGTGCTGCAGCTAACAAGACTGATACCAGATTCCAAAGGCACTAAATGTAATGTGGAGCTCGAACCGGTTGAAAATACGAAATATTCACACATACTACGTGTGCCATTCAAGACTGAAGACGGGAAGGATCTGCGCCAGTGGGTGTCCCGGTTTGACATTTACCCTTACCTGGAGAGATATACTCAGGTTTGTCAGCTGTCAATTATTAACTATCAGCAATCTTGTGTGAGTGATCTTTCGTAAAGTTTTATCCCGGCATGATTTCAGGATGCTTCTGCCAAAATCCTTGACATTCTAGAGGGCAAACCAGACTTGATCATTGGCAACTACACTGATGGAAACCTGGTGGCATCCCTCATGTCGAGCAAACTCGGAGTCACACAGGTGGGGAAATGTCTAATCAAATAGGATCCCTCATGATCTCTCTTACCACCAATCACAGTTGATATGACATCCCTAACTGGTTTTCCTGACAGGGAACAATTGCACATGCTCTCGAGAAGACGAAGTATGAGAACTCAGATGCTAAGTGGAGGGAGCTGGACCAAAAATACCATTTCTCCTGCCAATTCACTGCTGATATGATTGCCATGAACACTACCGATTTTATCATCACTAGCACATACCAAGAAATTGCTGGGAGGTCAGTAGGCTGAATATTACTGTAACTTCAGTGCTGACTGAATATTACTGTAACTTCAGTGCTCTAATAATGCTTGAGTACTTGCACCTAGAAACTTCTAACATTGACATATTGTGCAGCAAGGAGAAGCCTGGTCAATATGAACACCACTATGCATTCACAATGCCCGGTCTTTGCCGCTTCGCCACGGGCATCAATGTGTTTGATCCGAAGTTCAACATTGCTGCACCTGGTGCCGATCAGTCCGTCTACTTCCCCTACACACAGAAGCAGAAGCGGCTGACAGGTTTACACCCACAGATTGAGGAGTTACTGTACAGCAAGGAGGATACAGACGAACACATGTAAGTCAAGTCCCTTGGAAACACACATACTTTTGTTTGATCAGACAAAGTTGCTAACTGCTGTGATGCTACCAAATTCAGAGGGTATCTGGCAGACAAAAATAAGCCAATCATTTTCTCGATGGCAAGGCTAGACAAGGTGAAGAACATCACTGGACTAGTGGAGTGGTATGGCCAGAACAAGAAGGTCAGGGACCTTGTGAACCTCGTCGTCGTCGCAGGCCTCCTGAATGCTGCACAGTCCAAGGACCGAGAAGAGATAGACGAGATCAACAAGATGCACAATTTGATCGACAAGTACCAGCTGAAAGGACAGATCCGGTGGATCAAGGCTCAGACTGACCGGGTCCGTAACGGCGAACTGTACCGTTACATTGCAGATACAAAGGGTGCATTTGTTCAGGTATACATTAACCTACAAAACTAACTGTATGGTTTGGAGTAACAAACCCAGTGCAGAAACGGAGAAACCCCACTCTACCCTTTTCTTTCTTGATTAAATCAACTCTAACTTCACAATGCATATCTCTGGTTTCAGCCTGCACTCTATGAAGCATTTGGGCTAACAGTCATCGAGGCGATGAACTGCGGTCTGCCAACCTTCGCGACAAACCAGGGAGGGCCAGTGGAGATCATTGTCGACGGGGTCTCGGGTTTCCACATAAACCCGATGAACGGCAGGGAGGCTGGCACCAAGATTGCAGACTTCTTCCAGAAGTGCAAGGAAGACCCAAGCTACTGGAACAAGGTGTCCACTGCTGGACTTCAGCGCATCTACGAATGGTAGGCGCCGACCCCTGTCCTGCCCCATGAATGGCAGGCACCAACCTACCTGGTGCAAAAATTTAACCTTCTGATATACATGATGGCAGCTACACATGGAAGATATATGCAACTAAAGTGCTGAACATGGGATCGATGTATGGCTTCTGGAGGACTCTGAACAAGGAGGAGAGAGCGGCCAAACAGCGGTACCTGCAGATGTTCTACAATCTTCAGTACAGGAACCTGGTGAGTTCACGATCTACGGTGTATCAGGTGCAACGGCCAATGCACAATGCAACCAAGCAGGTCTGATCAAATGACCACATCATGTTTTCTTTCATTCAGGTGAAGACCGTCCCCAGAGTAGGGGAGCAGCCCCCGAGAACCGCGGCCTCAACCTCGACAGCAGGCGCCGCGGTGGTGCGTGACGAGATCGTAGTGAGGCCGAAAGAAAGGCAAGTGTGCGCGCTCTTACGAAATTTACTCAAGAGAGACCGGGAAGCGACTGACTGACTGACTAAAC